TTACCCAATTTGTCCGCCTTAAGAACAGTAGAATCTGCTATTTCCTCTTCATATGGTGATGTGTCTTGGCTCTAGGTCAATCTTTAGGTTCTGCTTTATATACGGTAAAAAGCGATCAGTGATTAGATTATGTAATAAAACTGGTAAAGGTTTATTGTTGTTGCTGGTTGTTTCTGATAAATTTACATGTTTAAGTAATCCAAGGGTTTATTTTTAAGGCTACTTTTGTTGAATTTAAAAGAGCACAACCTCTGTTAATTCTCTACACTTCTCCTTCGATCATGAGCTCTTGGTTTATGACTCGTTTAAGGTACTAAGGTTGATGATTTAATGATGACATTTGATTTTGTTCATTGGGAATCTTTTTATGCAGATTCTCACTTCTGTATCTCAATTTACTGTGTCCTGGCGAGATACTTCCCACGCGTGAAGAGATTAAGTTAAGTTCAAGAAGAATCCTTTTGATTGTGTGATCGTCATGTAAATTCTATTATGAAGTCTTGTCAGGAGGTTCATAACTCGGGTTTCTTTTACTTTTTTGAATTAAATATTTTGAATTTTAATTTTATCTTTTAATATTTAATATAACTTTTTAATATTGAGTAAGATCATAAATTTAGCTAATTAACTAAAGTTTACCAAGATGAATACAATATAATGTCATCTCAATACTTATATATATATATATATATTATTTTTCAATTTAATTTTTATTTATTATGAATGATTTTTAATTTATTTAATTAAATGCGTATATATATTGTTACTTTCAAGGAAACATTACTGGTTGCAATACAGAAATTGTATGTGACAATGTCAATGACTATTTGTATTTTGATGGGTTCATCCAACGGAGAAGGCTAAGGTGGAATTACAGATATCGTAAAGCCTCACACTCTTAAGATTACTTAAAAAAATATAGATAAAATTATTCTTAACCAAAATGTAATATAAGTTTTCCCAAAATTTATGTATCAATCAATATATTGTATCTGTGAGGTTTAATAAAGCTTTCAAGTTTTTAGGATGTGTAGTTTGATTTTTCTCCATCATCATATGATGATTGAGTTGGATTTTAAATTTATTTTTGTATTTTTTACTGTGTCGATATTAAAAGTAAAGTTTTAGAAATAAACAAAATATTACTTTAATATATATATTCATTATTTTTATTAGAATTAACTGGGTATCAATCCCAACTCCTCATTGGTCATTGTATCAATTAAAAATTTAAAAGCAATCAATAACTCAGGGGATTTTCTCTCTTACCCCAATTAACTGCAAGCATTTAACACTAATAAGTTAACACTCCATCTCTCGAGCCCCAAGGATACCATCAATTTTTAGGAAGATTCATCTCAGCACCTTGTGTCTCTATGATATTACATTTTTAACTGTATTTGGATCCGTTTTAAAACTTTTTTTGTTTTAAAAATTATTAAATTTATATTTTTTATTTTATTTTTTTGATGATTTAATGTGTTGCTATCAAAAATAAAAAAAAAATAAAATTATTTTAATGTTTTTATAAGTGAAAAACAGTTCCACCGAGCACCCTGTAAAGTTAACTAGAAATCACAGATAACCAGACATGCAGATCACACATTATGACCGCAGAACCAGTAGTATTGTAGCTGTAGATGGACGCCCGAAGAAAAAGGAAAAAAGAAAAAAAAGGCATGAAGAGCCATGGCTTGATTTTATAAAGAAAGTCTGCTTTTTGTTTGGACGAGAAGACTAGCAATATCCACCAGATAACCAGTTGACTAAAGATCCAAACTGATAGCAAGTTGTAACTTGAGAAACGGTTCTCATCCTAGCATCATGAAAACTTGTATATGCATTATTTGCAGACATATAATTAAAGGCAACCTGAAGGACTTCCATTTTTATCAGTAAAATCTCAGATATCACATGGCGCAATTTACCAGCATCCCAGTTCATGCCACTTCGACGTCCAGGTGAAAATGTCAAGTTCTATGTCCACAGACTCGCAAGAACCAACATCAGTTCATAATGGTTATAATTTTTGTGAGCATTTCCTTGCTATCCAACAGGAAAACTTTCGTCTGAGAGGCATACATAAAACAAAGTATTGCATTGACAGATTACTCACAACACAACACAACCTCAAACATAAATTGAACAGGGGTAACCATGAAATCATTAATGGAGAATAAGTTCTTATAAATTGACAATAATATCAGGAAGTCCATTGATTACATCAATCTCAAACTAAAATGTAAACCATGTTTGAATGCTAAGATAAGTTACCAAGGGAGAATTCGACCTTTCATATCATCCTAATATTTATCGGTGCCTCTCTCAACCTACAAGACACAGGATTCAAGCTAAGAGAAAGGGTGAGGTCGCGTCGACTGATATCTATTTAGCGGAAAACAGGCTCGTCTGAATTAAAACAGTTAAAATGAAGAAATTCAAAAGCACATGCTCCAAACATTATCAGTAGAGTGCGCGGTAGAAAAACACTGTAGTTGAAGGAAACGGGCAAAGCGCAAATGATCATGCTATCAGACCTCAGAAATTTGCAAGTTCAATGAATTTGGTTCTGACCGAAAATATACTGCTTATACTGTTTCAAGCACATGTGAACCAGAAGAAAAATTTTATTCCTAGCATGCAATAACAACCTTCAAACAAGATTGAATCTCAAAACAAACAGTAGTTCTGACCGAAAATATACTGCTCATACTGTTTCAAGCACACGTGAACCAGAAGAAACATTTTATTCCTAGCATACAATAACAACCTCCAAACAAGATTGAATCTCAAAACAAACAGCAACCAACATTGCCATACATCCTTACTTGATGAAATATGAATTGGATAGAGATCAAAGGGCACGGCGCATCCCCTTCTTGGGCTTCTTCACAAAACTCAATCTAATCTGCTTAAGCCGCCTCCTCTTCCTTGCCATTTTCTCTGGCAATGTCTCCCTCTTCTTCTCTTTCTTAACAGCCTTCGGTTTTTTCATAAACTTCGGATCCACCCTGTACTCTTTGGGTGTCACTGTCACCCCATTGCTCAATGCTTCATTATAAAGAACATTTGCTTTATCAAGACGATTATGGGCACACCACTTCCCCATCAACAAATCATAAGTCTTGATCCCAGGCTTGCACCCATCTGCCTTCATCATCTCAAACACGCTCATAGCATGCTCAAGCCTCTCGATCCCACACAAAATCTTCAAAAATCCATAATAAGCCTTCTTATCCAGCTTATCACCATACCCTGCACTCTTCATTCTATCAATCATCTCATCCCCCTCACCAACTCTCGCTGCCTGATACAAGCTCCTAATCAAAACAAGAAATGTAGTCTCATCTGGACAGCAACCCCATTCCCCAATCCTAGAAAACAACTTCATTGCATCCTCAGTTCTCCTTACCTTGCACAGATTACTAATCAACACATTAAAAGTCTCCACATTTCGTGGAACTCCACGAATATCCATTTCCATCAACACCTTCTCCACCTCCGACTCCAACCTAAAAGGATCCTTTTCCCGACAAAGCTTGCAAACACAGTCAAGCATAGCATTAAACGCCATTGTACCAATCTCAAAACCACCTCTATACATCTCCCCTGCTAATCTTTTAGCCTCCTCTAATTTCCCATCAACACACCAACCTTTAATTAACAAATCACAAATACCATCATCAGGAAATATCTCATTAGCCAAATTCTTCACCATTTTCTCAGCATAACTTGCATACCCATTTTCACACAACTTCTGAACTACAAACGTAAGACTTTCCTTGTCTCTCTTAAACCCATAATCCCTCTCCATTCTCTCAAAAAACCCAATGACCTGTGTTGTCCTCCCTGCTCTCACAAGCCTATCAATCATAGACTCAAAACACTTAACCCCAGCAACACTTTTACCTTCAACAAGCAAATCATGGGCTGCTTTAAAATCCTTTCTTCTACCAAAATAGTCAACAAAAAGGGCCAAAGACTCGTCATTTTGCTCAAAGTTTGCATCTTTAATAAGCCAATCGTGAAACCCAATAACTGTACGGCCTGCATCAGGAGAAAGCTTGAGGGTTTGCAGGACCAGGGAAGGTGTTAAAGCGTTGTTCTTTGTTAAGTGCGAGAAGGAAAGGTGGAGCCTTTCTGAGATTGATAAAGGATCAGTGTTTGGGTCTCTTGAAATCTCAGTAGATAAAGACTGAACTATTGCGGGATCTGGACTTTCAGTGTTGCTAGGGTTTAAGGTTTGGGAGGAGGAGAAGGGTCTTTGGGAGAGACAGAAGGGTAAAGCTGGGATTTTGGGGTGATGGGCAGGGGTAGAACGCAAAGAGAAAGTTATTGGTGGTGGTGGAGAGGAAAGTTGGTAGAGGCGGAGGAGATGACGGAGGTTGAGGGAGGTTAAAGGTGGCATTTTGCGGGGGCTAGAGCGAAGCAGTGGGGAGAAGGAGCTCAGATCATAAACCCTGAAAGCGTTGTCCTTGAAAAACCTATGGCTTTGTGGACTTGGTGAGGGTCAACCCAAGCCCAAAGTACTTCGTGAGGTAGGTCAGACTGTGTGTATGGGCTTGGAAGGCTTCTGCGCTAGCCATTTTAAAAAGATTTGGAAGGTAAGTCATGGCTCTCGAGAAAAATAACTCTCACTTTCTTGCATCAATAAGCAGCGGCTACAGCAAAGATCTGATCGAGAAATTTTGCCTTTTGACCTCCTCCCTGAAACAGCCTCTCATACATCTCAGCGCAGCTGATGTTATTTGAGACTATTGGTTTGAGTAAATACTTTTATTTTTGACCAATAACAAGTTTACTGGATATCATACATGCTTAGTGCAAAACTGCTCGCTATACATCTCTAAGTACTGAGAAAATTAAATTTCATTTATTAGTAAAAAAGATAATGAGATTGCAAAAAATATCTATAAAATCATGTAAATCATAAACCATCTCCAATTAGTGATATTCATGACGTGATTGCAATTGATTTAAGGAGATAATAAAACTAGTTTATATTTTAGGATATGTATAAATAATAATAATAATAATAATAATGCTTAGATTCTTAGATGAATCACCTTTGCAATTGGTACATTTATTCCATGTTTCTTTTTTTTTTTGGGTTAAACAGGGATCTTAATATTATTTTGCTATATTTTTTCTATGTATTAATAATCACATACTTATATAATTTAATGTTATGAAATATATAACTTTTTTAGCCATTTTATTATCAATAATACTTTTAACAATAATATTAACCAAATATTTTTTTAATTATTTTTATTTAACAATAATTTTAATTGTAATTTTAACCAAACACATGTTTTAATCTTGTTAATAACATCTAAAAATATTTTTTAAAATCTATTTTTTTATACCACAATTATAAAGACCACTACTATATTAAATAAACATTTAAATAATATTTAAGAATATGATAATAATTATTTTTTAAATTATTTTTTATTTGAAAATACATAAAAATAATGTTTTTTTAATTATTTTTTATACCAATACATCTAAATAAAAAAATAAAAAAAGTAATTTCAAATAAATAAAATCATAAAATATAGTTTTAACAGTAAAAATAAACCCCATTAAAAAGCTCATATGCCCTTTCTTGTTTACACTAAGTACATGACATGATGCACCATCTGTCATTTACTTAGACAAACAATGTATAATCTACCGTAATAAATTTTAGCCATTTGTGATAGATGAAAAATCAAGTTTAAGTAATTTAAACCCTAAATCATAAATTTTTATCAAACCAAATATAAATAAACCTTACAGGTCTTTGATCTAGTTTTTATAGCATCATTAAACCTCCAAAGTCCAAACCATTTGCATTGAACTTCCTTTCTATACGAGCTCACTAATATCAATATTAATTTTTTTTTATAGTTATAATATAATATATAGGATTTTTTTAATGACTTTCTCTCTTATTTTTTAATATTTAGTAATTGAAATATATGAAAATAAAGCTTGAATGCTGAAATGTCAATACCTAAAAGTACAAGGATCAAATATATACAAAAATAACACATTGAAAAACCAAATTAATTCTTTTTACATTTAATAAATTATTTAAAAAACATTATAAATTACTATTATAATTCAAATGCAGGTGGAGAGCTGCATTGTTTTAGTTTTTTTCTTAAACAAAAAAGTAATTTTTTAGAAGGAAAAAAAATCTATACAAATTTTAAAACAGAAAAGGAGATGATGTGCAAAAGAGGCGACAAATTTCTTTGTAGTGGATGATTCTTACATTCGAACAATCCAACGGTAATATCCCCAGAAGAAGCTCAATGTAGGATCTGCAAGGCAGCAATGGCATTGGCCTGCCAGCCTGCCACTGGTTTTTCTTTTCCAATTGGTAAGTGAATGAAGTATGATTGCTCACAAAGAAGCCAACTTCCGTGCAGGACAACTTCATTTTTAACAAAGAATCAAAACCAGAGCCTCAGCAGCAACACAAAACACAGCTCAGGAAAATCAAAGGCTATTATATAAACTGCCTTGCAATTTGTCATCCACCATACTTGCACTGGTGACTGAACAGTGACTTATACTTGAGTTTTCTAGGCCCTGCAAAATTAATTTTCAGAATCGTTACTGGAGTGAAATCCCTTATGCGCGACATGAAATGGCTGCGGCAATATAAAATGTAAGCAATTCAGCCATCTTTAACATCATGCCTTTGCGGGAGCAAGTACTGTAAATTATTAGTGACAATCCTTTGTTCAGGGTGGAAAGACGGCATTAATGAGATTGCATAGGAGAATATTTTTCCTGTTCAAGGAGGACAAGTTACCGAGAGTAAACATTACAAAATAATTACACTTAGAGCATTTAAACAACAAAGATAACAGCCAATTTTTGAAGTGAAAACCGATAATGGCGATGGATAATGCAATGCAAATCACTTTGGTTTCTCCATTAAGATTGTCTTATGCAAGGGAGCACCGGGTATAATTAATGAACAACTTCAAAGCAGCTCCAATCAAACAAATTAGTTTAAAAAGTGAATTCTAAGCAAAGAAGCTAAGAGCCTATCACCCATGGCTGAGAAGGAAGGTGGAGTTGTCGCAAAGGGTCACGAGGAAGGGCTTAAAATGGCTATCTCTCTTCTTGAGGAGTTTGGACTTCCCCTGGGACTTCTCCCTCTTGCAGATGTGATCGAAGTTGGTTTTGTTAGTAGTACTGGATACATGTGGATCGTCCAAAAGAAGAAGGTTGAACACAACTTCAAGATGGCCGGCAAGCTTGTGAGCTATGACACTAATATAACTGGCTATGTCAGCAAAAAACAGATAAAGAAACTCAAGGGAGTGAAGGCTAAAGAACTCATGTTATGGCCTCCAGTAAATGAGATAACCATTGATGATCCACCCACCGGAAAAATTCACTTCAAGAGCCTCGCTGGCATCACCAAAACATTCCCAGTAGAGGCATTTGCTGCTGGTCAGTAATGCGCATCAAGAGTTCTGTAATTTCACCAGCTGCCGCAGCAGTTCCACAAGCTATATATATCTAAAATACAGCTTCCTTCTGTTGTATTTTATTTCCTTGTCCATTTTGCAGTTCTCTCACCAAGGAATGGTGAACGATGCAAAACAGTATTGAAGACGTTAAAAGCAAACTACAATTCTGATAAAAATAAAAATAAAAAAATAAAAAGAGATGCTCCTGTTAGTTGTAAAAATTACCTTTAATGCACTTGACGAATTCTTATTGCAGATGCTTCTACTGCCTTCAGAGCCAGTCTCAAGTCCTTGGCCTCTGCAGAGATGGACATTTGAAACAAAAATATATACTTGATTACTACTATCCCTTTCTCATTGTACGGCATAACAAACATCCATGAACCACAGATAAAATGAGGGTTTCTCTTGGCAAATATTTCCCTCAGAGTCTCTTGGAGGACAAATGCAACAAATCCAAACAATCGATTCTGCTGCTATGGAAGCTAGTATCTTTAACTGATCCAAAATTAGTCCCCACAACTGAGAACAATACAAGATACTATATCATCATAACTCTTTTGCCTTGGAAAAAACACGGTCCAAAATTTTCTCAAGAGTGTCCTATACTAGACCATAAACAGATAGTTGCATGCTTTTCACCCTGCGTTTTCTTTTTTTTCTTTCCCTTTTCTTTCCAGATAGTATTACTGAGTACCAAGTAGGCCAAAACGCCAATAATTGACAATAGTAAATGTTCTGCAAATCTGCAGAAATTACAACGAGAGGAAGTGATCTGCTAACAGATCAGTGCCCAGAAACAAAATTGTAATCCAGCAAAAGAAATTACAGAGCGTAACCAAAAACACAGCTAGCAAAAGTGAAATAAAACTCCGCAGTTTGAACACTGGACAACAATAGCATGTGAAACAGCCTGAGCCCACAAGAAGAATGAACCAAGACTCTAAAGAAACCTAGCACAATAGCTGCCAAAACAATATTGAAAAGAAAAACTAGCTGGAGCAATTACTAGGTCCTCAGCATGTAGCACTAAAGTGCTAGTTTAATGGTTGCATGACACACCAGCTGAAAGATTCAAATGTGAATAGCATTGTTATTGTAACAGTTCAAACCATCAGCAACAACAACACAAAGCAATTACAACCAATCACACGGTATAAAAGGATAGCAACAACTTTGCATTGCGGGCACCAAGTCAAACACCAGCATTCCATGGATTCATTATCCTGTCAGCTTTGCTGCATTTATCTCTGCTCTCATCTTCTTAATTGCCATACAACCATTGACAAAAGATGGAGGCATAACACTAAATCCTACAACTTTCTCCAGTAAATGTTTTAGCAAAAGCTTCGTGCTCAACTCCGACTTCCCATTCCACCATTCTGTTGCCTGAATCTCAAGCTCTCTCTTCCTATATACAAGTATATTTGGTAAATGCTAGGACACCCGTGTACAATTAATAAATTTAGCTGGTGAATCTGAGACCTGACGAACCCCCTTCTTGCATAAGACCAGCTCTAAAAAAAAGTTAGCTTGGAGTTAAATTAATACGACCCTGTTAATTTGATGATTGAATTCATGATTTAGTCGATTCAGTAAAAACTAGTTTTTCTTTTCTTTTTCTTTTTTAAAAGAAATAATGTCATTTTAAGTTTTTAACATGTTCTTAATAAATTTTTTTTTAATTGACTGGGGTTAATTTACTAACTTAAACTTACATTAAATCCAATAACTTTGTAATTGTTTAGCATTAAATCCAATAACTTTGTAATTGTGATTAGTTTCATGAGAAATATCAAATAATAGAAAAAACCTTTTAAGATGAAATATTTTGATGAAGATGTAAACTTGATGGAATTCTATTAATTATTAATTTCAAAAGAAAACAGATTTAAGAGTTAAAAGATATCTGATTGATTTTGTTTAAAAAGTAGTTTAAAAAAATGATTTTACCATGATGAATTGATAACTATTACAAAAACAATAATAATGAACCAAAAAAACAAGTGGTAATTCAAACACAAATCATGGAAATGATTACAGACAAATTATATAGAAAAACTACAACCTTCACATGACGGAAAAGACAAAAAATCTACCTCCATGCTTAAACCTTTAAGGTGATTTTTCATCTATTTTTACCTTGAATTTATTGTCTTAATATAATATTAATTCATAATTTATCGACCACGCGACCAACAAATCCTTTACAAAGCTGTTAACGCACTCCCTGTCGCGTACAATCCAAAACCTAAAATAGTTTCCAGTTTAAACTCATACTCTTCATATAATCATCGATCACTCATTTTATCTCAAAAATATTAGGACATGCTCGATCTCACATTCACTTCTCAGGTAAACAAAAAATCAGTTTTTTGGTTATTTTTTTTGTTTCCTAAATGATTCAACTTTTTTGGGTTTAAATTGAATGATTTTGAGGGTCAAAAAAACATGTGAATCTTTTTTTTTAAAGGGGTCTTTAATAATGGCAAGCGAGGACTTGAAAACCCAAGTTCCGGTTGAAGAGAAAAATGGGAATTTAGAGGCTTCGGTCAGCAAGGAAAACGGTGAATCTTCTGATGTTTTTTCTGTAATACAAGAAGAAGAAGGAGGAGTGACCAAAGGTGATTGTTTATTGTTGTTGGATTATGCTTAAAGTTTCTTAATTTATCGGTTTTTGTTCTGTTTTGTAGCATAAGGAAAGGGTTTTACCTCCTGGCGTAAGTTTCGAAAGAACTGAAAGAGTGAAGACACGATCTTTTTTCTTGAAATGTTGAAAATACAATCTATCGGCAGAGCTGTCCATATATAGAGTTTGTCATTATTGTATTTGCTTGTTAATTTGGTTTTGAGAAGAAAGACACTGATCACATTATCAATGTTGGGGAATCCTGTCATATGAGAATCAATTCATTGTTTTATATCTGCGTTTTGCGAGATATAAGTAAACACTTGATGGTATTTTTATCTCAATTGAGATGATTTGATGATTTCATTTGGTAATGGTGCTGACATATAATATTGTGTGCATTTGGTAATTGTTTTCTTGCAGAAGTTACAAAGAAAAAGAAGAAGAAAAACAAAAGCGAGGACATATAGACATCTTTGATTCCCTGTCCCTTTGAACATTTGCTTTCAGTAGCCCGTGATCTTTTTTTTCCCCCTGTAATCTGCAGGAGAAAAAAGGAATTGGCAAAGCAGACTGATCCACCCACTATTCCTGTCGTGGATCTTTTCCCTTCTGGGGAGTTTCCTGAAGGTGAAACCCAGCAATACATAGACGAGTGAGTAAATGTTATTATTATTCTTATTCTTTTTCCAATCTCTTGATTTCAATGATTACACTTTTGAGTATCTGTGGATTATTGGATTCACTGCCTGCCAAGATTATATTGCTGCTTTTTTTTTTTTCCTGAGCTTGACTAGTATTGCAACAGTATAGGCTCAAATACACCTGAAGTTTAGCCAAAATCTGTAGCAGTAGACCAGAAGACAATGCATACTTGATACTTTGATTTGTTAAATGAAAAGTGATACATGTTTTTGTATGTTTCTGATTTATAATTTTGAGACATGAAAAATTAAATTGTTTATCAAACGTATTGTGTATCCCATAGGCATCTTGTTTTTTTTTTTTTCCAACTTTACCTGTTCTGATTATTTCTTATCTTTTTTCCTGCCCATGGGAACTTGATCTTTTAGTAATTTGTGGAGGAGTACATCTGAAGAGAAAAGAGCATTGGAACATCTTGAAAAGCCAATGTACAATTCAGATCGCCAGGCAGCAGAAGTTCATCACCAGGTTGCTAATAGATCTTATGTATAACTTTATTCCGGCTGTTTTTGGTATCATCTTCTTGAAATTCTGTCTACTTGTTTTTAGGTTCGGAAGTATATGAAAACATTTTGAAGCCTGGAATGTTAATGACTGATCTCTGTGAAACCTTGGAGAACATTGTTTGTAAGCTAATATGAGAGAATGGTCTCCAAGCTGGCATTGCATTTCCTACTGGATGCTTTCTGAACTGGTAAATGCCAACTTTATACCCTGGATTAAATAATTCGGAGTCCTTTTTTTCTTTACATGGTTATATTTTTATTTGATTTCTTTTCCATTGTTAGTGTTGCTGCTCAATGGACCCCAAATACAGGGGATAAGACTGTGCTTCAGTATGATGATGTGGTGAAATTGGATTTTGGCACCCATATAGATGGTAAAAACTTTATTGCACAACCTTTTTATAGTTTAATTCATATGTTTTCTCAGAATGAAGTTGTTGGTTCAATGTGCTACCAGTGTCTTTCCCACCTAGAGCCTTTATAATTAATGTGATTATTAAATTTGTAGGACGTACTATGGATTGTGCATTTACAGTGGCAGTCAATCCTATGATTTATCCATTACTTGAAGCTTCATGTGAGGCAACTAACATGGGGATCAAGGTGCTGACCTTTGATCCCTGAAAATTAATTTTGATCTTGTCATTACCATGTAACTCACCCAAGTTATTTTCATCTCATTCTTAATGTTGACCATTTAGTTTTTCTTCAGTGAGATTCAAGTTTTACATTAAAAAGGGCAATTTTTGTGCTTTATTGCTTCCCCATGAAAAATTCACACCAAAGTATCTTTCTTGCTTTCCCTATTCGCCTGCTGACTCCCTTCAAAAGTGTGGTGTTTGTAGCCTGCCTGACTTTGTTCTTTTCTCCACCTGTATTTCCATTGCTAGAAGAGTATAGAATCTTAAAAGGGGTTTCTTTTAGGAAGGGGAAGATTTTACTGGGTTAAGTCAGGATAGGGGTGCATCATTGGAGAAGGGGCTCTAAGCAAGCTTTTTCTCCTTTAGAGGATTAAGGACTTCATTTAGTTTCTTTTTAATTGTTTTCAAAACCTTAACCACTCTAGAAGACTTTGCAACTTGTGGTTAAGAATTGATTTTTATTTAATTTTTCAGGAATCAGGGATTGATGTGCGTCCATGCAATGTTGGTGCTGCCATCCAAGAGGTCAATGAATCATACGATGTTGAAATTAATGGAAAGGTGTTTCAAGGTACTATGTCTATTTGATGCCGTTGTTTCAGTTGTTATTTGGTACACTGTAATTGTGTGTGTATTTGATTATCTTTTGTATCATCACTCCAAAGATAATTTTGTTAGTACCTGTTTGGTATTGTGGTTGAGTAATTGAGTTTGTGAGAACCAGGTAAAGTAAGAAGTAGGTAACCCTTTCAAAACCATAGTTTTGAAAACTTGATAAACTTAAAACCTTGGTTTTGATAAAGCTGAAATTTAATGTTTTTTCAATACCATGGTCTTAGATGCTAACCATGGTTAACTCAATCCCAGATAGCCTTCGGCAAGTAAAGTTTCAAAAGTTGCCGCGTTATTCAGGAGTTTGATAGAACTGTTAACAACGAATTAGCTGATTGACAGTTTTATGTATAATTCCATTTAATCTTTAAAGATTGTGACTCTGTTGGGAAAGAATGAGTAGATTGGAAGCTAGTCTCGCAGAAGTTTTGTTCTTATTTTCCCATCTAGAGCTTCTGGGTGTATGAGGGGGTCCTCAGCTGCTCCAGTTCTAAATCGTGCTGGTCCATTTTTACCCATAATTGATTTATCATTATTTGACTGTTCAAGCTTGATTCAATGCAAATATTGTGTTTCAATAATAACTTTGTGTAGGGTTGAAAGATAAGGAACAACTGGTGACCTTGCACATTCCGAATCAGTGAAAATGATTATACTTTTGGTTGTTCAATGTATTTTTCTTAATGGATGATGAATCCACACTGAATATCATGCATGTCCGTTGATTTATTATAAAATCCCCTGTGAATACATATTTGTGTGTGCACTAACTTCAAGTGTCATCGGCAGTTAAGAGTATGCGTAACTTGAATGGCACAGCATTGGCCCCTACCAGATTCATGCCGGAAAATCTGTTCCCATTGTTAAAGGAGGGGAACACACAAAAATGGAAGAGGGTGAATTTTTTGCAATTGAAACATTTGCATTAGCAGGTAATAGTTGTTTCATATGGCAGGGAATTGATGTATTTTTTTTGAAAGGGATGACACTTGGAGGAGAACATTGTGATCTAGGGTGTAACGAGACCTTTTCTGCTGTGCCTGTAGGGAAAGGATATGTAAGAGAAGATCTAGAGTGCAGTCATTACATGATCTAGAGTGCTACTCGATATCATGCTTGTTCTGTGGCAAAAATGAATTGGAATATCTATCCACAACTCCAATTTATGTTTTTGTTGTTAATTGTGGACTGACACCGTAGTAAAATTACTTAGAGAAGTAGCTCTATGACAAAAATAATTGGTGACAAAGGAATTAACTGCATTATAAGAAAAGCATTTGAAAGTAATATTTTGATTTTTCTAAAAATTTGATGCAAGAAAAAGGCATAGCAGAATTTTCTGTTCAATGTAACATCTTTCCATTTAAATCTGTATCGAGTAGGGATGATGACAATGGACATCCACAATGACCCTATTACCATCATTTCTAGGAGAAGGGTCTGTTCGCATGAGTTTTCCAGTCAATTCTTTCTCAGGTTTGTTCTCTTTGACGAATTAGATTCAAGGAACTGCAATATAGAGGAAGAATCAATTTGCAGTGATCTCGATTGCCTATCTTCATCAAGACTAAATCCGGGTGGCAACAACTTTCCGTGGAGTTTCCAAGCTTGGACGTCTCTATCTGGACAATTGAAAGAGACTTGAATCATTGAAGTCACTTCCATCGAATCTAATTTATGCAAGTGCACGACCATGTAATCCACTGGAAACACTACCAGGTAAATTGGAGGTCTTGCGATCTCTGGAATTAAATGTTCCCACTTTCCAAGGTTTAGTTGAGGATCAGGTCAGCAGGGCAGTCAGTTGCGGGTGGATTGTTTCGATTTGGTCATGAGTGGAAAGGTTCATCACTAGATTTAACGTAGAAGACAAGTTTAAAAAGTCTAGACAAGTCCAACGAGGTTTCTGGCTAAAACAGAAAGGATATATTTTTTTATCCGACCAGTGAAACCAAGCGATAAGCATGCACATCCAAGTTAGATAGGACACCAGTCTCTGCCGTCCATAGCCTCTTTTTTTTTTTTTTTTGGGAAATGTTAATTTGTATATAAGAAAAGGGCAGAGATCTGCACAATACTACGAGGGGTATGCCGCAAGGAACATCCAAACAACAACAATTAAAGGAGAAGAAAGTTACAATGCAAACCGAAATCTATACCTCTACAGGAGGACAGAAAAGAAAAGAAACAGGGCAGATCAGAAACTACAACAAAAGAACCAAAACACAACGTCCAGGAAGAAGGACATCCAGAGAGATGGAAGCCAAAGTCACTAACAGGCATTCCCATGCCTGACCTGCCAGGCCTATACTTGTGTTAGCCTCCATACATTTTAAAAGTGCAGGGTATTAGGCTTTGATCCTTTTCCATCAGAACAGTTCGGATAGTCTGGAAAATATCCTCACCAAGTTCTTATGTAGTAGACCACTAGGTTTGATTGAAGATCCTAATGTTCCACTCGTACTAGATGGAATAGACAGACGTGGAGAGGATACCATAGCCATTAGTAGGTGTCTTCCACAAGCGACAAGCAAGCTCAGGAGGAATCCAAAGAAAGAATCATGGACCTGTAAATCTGCTTGCGTGCAACTGTTGCTTGCCAATTGTCAAGTGCAGCCCAAAGCCGAGGAATGGTCCGTGATTGTCACTGCCATTAAGGGAGTTCTTTTGTCTCTATCATTGAGGTCATAGGTAGTCAGTAATCTTGGCTTCAATCGATCCTTTCCATTATAGCGGCTAACTTCGGTTCATTTTCGTGGATTATTTTGAAAATTTTAATGATTTAAAATTTCATTGAGATGACTTTGTAGGGTTAATATCAAGGATTTTTTTTAAATGATTTTTTTAATAAAAAATTAATCTAAAATTAATTTGATATTTATGTTGGGTTAACAATCTAATAACTCGGATTATTTTTCAGTTTAAAATTTTTATCAATTTGATAACTATATTTTTCAAAAAAAAAAATTTCATCTGGATTGATTAACTCTTTTTCTAAAATAATTCTAAACATACATTTATTGTATTGAATTAATGATTAAAAAAATATAAATTTCTAATAGGAAGAAGATAGCAAAGCTTACCGCCGGAGACATGCTATATAGATATTTACTTCTGTGCATTTATTTTAGATTTTTTAATATTATCACATCAAAATCAATAAAAACTACTACAATTTAATATTTTTTAAATAAAATATATTTTTTAAAAATATATAAAAAAAAGTAATTGCAATACTAAAAAATAATGGGAAGACTTTTTCAATAACATGTACGTAAACAACACTGAGAAGGGAAAATAAAAATGGAAAGAAAGTACATTTTAGTGTTTAGTTTAGTGGTGGAATGAGTTTATCTTCTTTAATTGTATTTAGATTCGATTAGAAAAAAAATGAAAAGAAAGTGATGAAAAATATAGAAAATAATAAAATAAATAAATAAATAAATAAATATTATAGTTTGATATTCTGTTCAGTGGATCGAATAGAATTTCACCTTGTCGACATGGATAAGAAGAGCCACAAGATTTCATCTAATGGTTGCAAAAATGCCATGTCAGCGAACTTATCTTTGAGTTGACACTTCCTTAACTCAGCCAAACAGTCTTCCTTTTTAAAAAGCATTCCAGCTTTCGCCCATGTCATGCCCAACCACCATTTACTCCAAGGTCAAAGCAAACCCCACCTTTTGTAGCGCGTGTAGTCCACTCCCATGCATTGAAACTGTAAATCAAGGCAACAGTTGTGTAAAAATATTTAAAAATAATAATTATTATTATAATACTAGATAAATTATATACATTAATTAATGAACATAAATAGTATTTATATTAAAAAAATATTAAAAAATATTTTTTTAATGTTTTATAATAATTTAGATATATTAATAATTAATATATTTTTAAATAAAAAACATTTTAAGGACACTTAAACAATTCACGTATATATTAATGAATTAAACAAATACATTCCATGTAATTTAGGACACCGTGAAATTTTTTTCCCTTTACCTGAATATTTTGAAATTTATTCCGAAGATTTTCAAACTTTTTTTTTTTATCCAAATTAATTGGGATGATTATTTTTTGTTTATTTGAATGGCGCTAAGTGTGCTAACCGGCTGAACTTCCAGCTGCACCAACCCTTGAAGCGAGTGTTTGACCAGAACTTTCCCTTTCTTCTTCCATATGATTTCTTCGTCTTCTTCTTCCTCTCCTCTGCAGTTCCAGCCAGAGCTCTGAAGCCAAGATAACAATAAATCCTAAGCAACCCTATTCTTAGCAAAATCAAAAGCTTGGCATGGGGGGCAGCACTAATCTTGATTTCTTAAGGTTTCTTGTCTTAATATCATTCTGTCTCCCTCTCACCTATGCAGCAGCAGAATCCTCCACTTCAAACATATGCCCTATGGACCTTAACTATGTCTTAAGAATCCCATGGAACAAAACTCTTTGTCGAAACTTCAACCCTCTTGCTCAAAATAACAATTCCAACTCCACAAGCAAGCCCCCATGTTGCCAAACCATACTCTCCCTCTTTGGGGTTGCCCTATCTCAACATCTCAAAGGAACCTCTCTTTTTCAACTTCCAAACTTAGCTACCTCTAGTTCTTGCCTTCAAGATTACCAGTCAAAGCTCAGCTCCTTTTCTCTTTCCGACAATCTTGTCTCTCACTGCTTCAACCCTTCACAGTTTGTTACATCACCTTTCATCTGTGCCCGTATAGAGACATCTCAAGACTGGGTTGATCAACTTGGTAAGTCGACTTCTCTTGATTCAGATTGCCGGTCTGATCTTACTGATCTTACAGCTTGTGATTCTTGTCTTAGAGCTGGTTATAAAGTACAGTCGTTGTTGTTGGCTGCTGATGGTAATACAACTCATGCTCAAGATTGTTTTTACTTTGCTGTTCTCTATGCTGCTGGTATTGTTAACGAGTTTGGTCCTGAAAGTGATGGTGTTGTTTCATGTATATTTGGTTTGGAATTAAATTCAAGAGTTGGTTCAGCTAGCAATTCTCATTCTGCTCTTGTTTTTGGCTTGACTGGTGCTGGTGTTGCTATTTTGGTAATGTCTAGCTTGTTAGGATTGTATCTTTGGTATGATAAGAAATGGAGAAGGAAAAAAAATTTAGGGTTTGGTTTTGATTTAGATGAACAACAAGGGTCTAGGCCTAAACTGAGGCCGAATACAGGGTCAATTTGGTTTAAAATTCGGGATCTTGAGAAGGCAACAGACAATTTCTCGCAGAAGAATTTTATTGGGAGAGGCGGGTTTGGTTTTGTTTACAAGGGGGTTTTATCTGATGGGACAGTGGTGGCTATTAAAAGTGTTATAGAATCTGATTTTCAAGGTGATGCAGAGTTTTGCAACGAGGTTGAGATTATTAGCAACTTGAAGCACAGGAATTTGGTGCCACTCAGAGGGTGCTGTGTGATTGACGATGATGTAAATTCTGATGAGAGAGGCAATCAGAGGTATCTTGTTTATGATTACATGTCAAATGGGAATCTTGATGACCATTTATTTCCATCATCGGATAATCAAATTCAAAAGCAATTGTTAAGTTGGCCTCAAAGAAAGAGCATAATTTTGGATGTGGCAAAGGGATTAGCTTATTTGCACCATGGAGTCAAGCCTGGAATATATCATAGAGATATCAAGGGGACAAATATATTGTTAGATGCTGATATGAGAGCAAGAGTTGCCGATTTTGGGTTGGCAAAGCAAAGTAGGGAAGGGCAGTCTCATCTTACGACAAGAGTGGCTGGAACTCATGGGTACTTAGCACCCGAATATGCTCTTTATGGTCAATTGACTGAGAAGAGCGATGTTTATAGCTTTGGGGTGGTTGTTTTGGAGATAATGAGTGGGAGAAAAGCTCTTGATTTGTCTTCTTCAGGGTCACCTCGGGCTTTATTGATCACAGACTGGGCCTGGTCATTGGTGAAAGCTGGAAAAGTGGAACAGGCTTTGGATGCTTCTTTGTTGAGAGGTAGTGATTCTTCAAATTCAAATCCGAAGGGGATAATGGAAAGGTTTGTGCTGGTTGGGATTTTGTGTGCTCATATAATGGTGGCTCTAAGGCCAACCATTCTGGATGCGCTGAAAATGTTAGAAGGAGATATTGAAGTTCCACAGATTCCAGATCGACCAGTGCCTCTTGGGCACCCTTCGTTCCATGCTGATGGCAATAATTTCAGCATCTCACCAGTATTGAGTGGACCAAAATTACAGCCTGGAGACATACTTAGGTAAGCACTAATGTCCTAAATGTCTTTCTTCTGCATTACCTAATGGATCTAGAGAGGTGGATGCATGCATGTGGCAGACCTCTTTCGCGAGTTAACCTGCATATTCAAGAATGATTGGTAAAGAAGATGAATTTAAAGTGTGTTGAGCCATTGAACTGTATAGTGCTCCATATGTGGAGATTAATTCCTGAGCATCTCAAGTTAAGAGGTAAAGAGTTTAGGGTATCATTAGTTGTGGTAGAATTTAGTCAGAATTACAAACACGGTGATGCTTTGATGTTCTGAAGCACCCAAAAATTGTTGAGGCTCGGTAACCTATTCTTATTAGGATTTTGAAGATGGACATGAACGTACAGCGTGTTTTTAATCTGCTGCTGTTTATGAAATCATTGACTTAAAGCATCAGTTTGTATATAATTGATTGAAAGGCAATAGAATTGGAATTTAACAGCTGCCTCTATCTAAGATAAATTGCTGAAAAAATACAAATTTACTCCAAAATTCTTAAAAGTCTTGATAAAATGCTGCTATTGGGATCAGTTTTCTTCTACTCGGTTCTTTGATTAATGAAATTTGCTTCATTCATCCTGGAAATGAATGGATTCTCAGTGAAGCTGCAGGGACCTTAACCCTACATCCATGTTATATATCAACATATGTTCCCTACTTTCCATCAATATATGTATGCATATAAATCCCACCATGGCTACTCAGCATTGGTGTTTTTGTTTTCTGTTTATTCAAGTTTTCAATATATTTCTATCACTTCCCATTCATTTGGTCGTCTGTGCTTTTCCTTAACATGGATATCAATGACTAGTCCAAGCTGCCAATGTCCAACATTGATAAATTGATAATATTGACATGTCCCTTTTTCTGGATCATTGTTAATATTGACACTAAAGAGAAAATTACAATAGATCTTCCAAGTGGCCTGAGACTACAAGAGGTAGCCATATTAAGACTAGCCAACAAAAAACTTCAAATCACCATTTTATGACAACAACATTGCTTGGTAGACCAATGCCTGACAAAAACTAAAGCCAAAACAAAACTCAAAAGAGGACAGTTTGAGGCTGATTTCCAAAGCCTAAGAATATGAAGAAGTTCAGCTTCATTTCCAGTCGAGCATACCGACAGAACATGAGAAAAATACAAGCGAAAGGCCACACCAACAATGTAATGAGGCTGATAAATTGAAGGCTAAAAGGTACATAACTGTCTTGAAATATGGGTCAAAATGCTAGTAGTCCTTGAACTAAGATTTCTATATTACTAGTTCTTCAACATGTTGTCTGATTTAATTTGTAATGCTGCTTCAGAATCAAGGCTTAACAATTTGCTGCTTCATTACAAGAGAGCTTCTACAGCTACCTTTGATGTCTTTAATCAGTCTGTAGCTGACTGCAGCACTTTCTGCAGTGGAATGAGACACACAGGTAGATCATACTTTGTTGCTCATATTTGCTGATAAATCTAGGTGTCATTGACTTTGGTCCTTTGTTACTATAATGTGGCCGCCGTAGAGGGTCTAGTGCCGATGGCTTCTCTGCTTGAGGTTGTAAGGAACTTATTCATCAATTTCTAACGTGTGAAGTTGAACCAAACCTTAAAGGACTACAATTGTTTAGTTTCTTGCCGGTAGGGTATTGGTCTTGTGACCTCATAATCGATAGGTGCAATTTTGTACGTGAAGAAATACCTGTGCAGATGGCACTATGGTCCAGCAATTGTTTCCACACATCCAACAGAATTTTAAGCATCTCTTCTTTCAGAAAGCTTTAAGATGTCAAGTATATCCTTATCATTCCGAGCAGGAATTTAAAGTTGAAAATTATCAAGTCTCTGCCACTCCCAGAATCTTTTCAAAAGGACTAGATTTTAGAGGGTTCTTGAATTTTGAGGAGCTGATCAGATACATCGTAAACTAGTGAATTACCAAACCAAGATACGATCTTTCTGATTCCTGTGAGTGTTCTACTCAAGAACAGAACTCTCCTCTCACCTCTAATGTCATTTCTTCCAAGTCAAAATAGAATAAAGAGAAGCAAGTATTCTTTAGCTTCTGGGTTAGCTAATACAGCATCTGGAAAAAAGTACACCTTGTTTTATCATTTATGCCATTCCTCAAACAGTGTTTTGAGATTGTCAGGCCCTGCAACATCAGGATTTCCACTCCACAGTAACTTTGCAAATGGATTATGAACCTCATCTGCTGGATGAATTCCATCAAAGAAGAGATATTCACTCGCATTATAAGCATAGACCATGCTTGAAACGTCTATCCGGACCAGCGCCGCAACATGGCACTTTTATCTCCTTGAAATCTTCACATTCAAGTTGCGACAATCAAAATTAAAATAGGTATAGAAGGATTGGAAACCAGTCATACCCTGAACCTGAAATTTAGGATAGACTTGTGTTATTTGAGAAACACAAGCAGGAAATTCTGAATTGACATGAGATATAAACATACCTTATTCGGTGGGATGGTTTATTCTTTCACTGTGAAGTGTAGAAATCAAAATTTGAATACTTAAATCTATTAAGCCGTCTCTCAAGCTTTTTAAGGACCTTAGAGAGTTCTCTATTGTGTAGCTTTGTCAGAACCATAACTTAATCCATTCAGCCTGAACTTCTTGTTCTAGTTCGTTTGAGTGCTCCTAGGAAAGGAAAACAGCCCAATGCATCCAAGTTTGAAATTCCAAATTTCATCCTTCCTTATATACTTCCTGGAACAGTAAAGCGAAACCATATATAGACTATGATCGATTTGAAAAACAGAACGAATGTTTAGGTTATTAGCATATCACTTGGATACCAGATGTCAGGTTGCCGATACCATCCTGATGTACTCGTTTCTGTTGTAGGATTGAAGCACAGTGGAGTTTATAGTGAAAGGTACAAAGTAGTCATTGCTTCGAACGATGAACAAGTAAAGAGCAGAGGACAACAATGTCTTACCTATCTTATCGCTTAATTTCTGCCTTGGTAGATTCTCCACTTCCTTAAAATAACGTAGTTGTGTTTTAAGGTCTATCACCTTTTCAATGAATGGGAACAAATGGGAACAATGTTAAGATGCAGATCAAGTTAATAATGCTGGATTTGCACCAATAAGCAAATTCTACGGACTATATAGCTGTGATGAACAACAAGCCTAAGCTAAAACACACACAAAAAGAAGGGCTTAATCAATAAGATCATGTACTTTTCCTTGTTGAGTTTCCACAAGGGCACCAGTTTCTGCAGATGCAAAGTTCACTCCATTCATCAATTGATGATTACCGGGTTGTAAATATGATTGACATCATAAAACTGCAACACGTTTTTAGAAAAAAAAACAAAAAAAAAAAATTATTTGTTGGGAACAAAATGCGTGGAATGGAATCAGAACATTCTGGATAGAATTTAGGCGGATATTTTTGAAACAGTGCAAGATTTTTGAATGGAATAAAATCTATTCGAGTTTGTTTTGTATTTTAAAATGGCATAAAATATACTAGTTATTCTGAATAAAACGAAACAGAATTGGCAATCTCGGATATAATGAGAAGAAAAGACAGCTCCATGAGTCAACCTTTTGTCAAGCAAATTACTTTTATGATCCTCCAAGTTCTAAATGTTAATCATTTTAACCTCTATATTAAAATTCCTTGCAAATCAATCCTTATATCATTGACTCATGGATGTTTAAGTCCCTCTCCAGCAAGATTGAAAGAAAATCGAGGAAAAGAACTCTTAGATAAAAGTCAACAAGTTTTAATGGATTAGAGGGTATGGAAAGAAAATTTCACAGATACTGCGTGTTTTTTAAGGGAAAGCACAAAGCTGAAGACAACAGAAATGTATGTCACCTGAGGTTTCTTGCCGGTTATTGTGACAAGTTCTCATTGGTAAATGTCTCGATCAACTTTAAGGAAAACAGCTGATCATGGATGCATGATTTGTTTTAAGAACTTGCTCGACAAGAATTTCCAGGGAGCCAGGAAAATCGTAAGAGATTTCCGAGGCTATGGCTCTGTAAGGATATCTGCCTTGCCTAGACATGAAATACACTGAGAGACATCACATAAAACCATTCCTTGCATTCTTAAGCTTGTTGGAATTGTATGTTTAATTGTTAGGGAACGGAAGATATTGAAGAAATAAACCCAGAATTACCAGCAACAGGACAGGCACATTAAGATCATCAGAATTCCCTAATGTGTGTAGACTTTAATAGCTTTCTAATGAGTCACAGATTCTCAAATGGCATGAATATCCTTTCAAGAACTTGCCATTGTCCATTCAGAGGAACTTATTAAACTTGATATGTGCTGCAGCAAAGTTGAACGACTTTGGACGAGATAAAGGTATGATCGTCATTTTTTTTCCCCTCTTTATTTTTTTCTCTATTTAACAGGTCTGAGAGGCACCAACCTAGCTAGATCTGCAGGCAATGTGAACTTCTAAAGACTTTCATCTTCAGTCATGTAACATTGAAAGCCAATATTTTAAATCAGGGCATCTGATGAAGTTCTGAACTCATAGCATGGCTTTGAGTTTTGATGGTAAAGAAGAATTACACTTTCCTTGAATTTGTTACCATTTTCACTGATAACAAATACATGTTCGAGTTGAAAAGATATCAATTAAATTTTATTTTGAGATATTTTTCTATCAAAACAACATTCTAAAAATCAATTAAAATGAAATAAGCTTGGACACAGGGAAAAAAATAGGATGAAAGTTGAAGAACTTTTTACATGATAAACTTTGTCACTAAACGATATTTAGAAAAGGAAAATTAAGGCAAAGATATATTTAATTTTTTTCTGGTTGCATTTAATTTTAAAGTCTCTTGAAAAACACAATCTAAATCTATATAGACCTGTTTATTTTTGTGGTTGTAATGTGTTTTTACAAAATTTTAAACTTTATTTTTATTTTAAATTATTTATTTTTGTTGTACTAATATTAAAATTAAATTTTTAAAAATAAAAAAATATTTTAATATATTTTAAAATAAAAAAAATATGTTAAAAAACAACCTTCATTACCAAACACTACCATGATATCAAAACTATAACATTTTCAACATGGCCAGCAGCCTAGCCGGTCATTGCCGTAAGATACTGAATGCAACTCTCTCTCTTTCAGTTTATCTATCTTTAGCCATCTGTCTGAAAAAGAAACTGTAACAAAATTCACTGAGTTTGCTTAAAAGCCAAATCATTTTCAAATAATCACAAATATCAGAACTACAATTTCAGCTGGGAAAGACTCAAACTTTGGCAGATATCAGTTACTGCAAAAATTTCCAGAATTTTATAAGTTTAAGCCCTTCTGTCTATCCTTTAAATAGTACATGTCTGTATAAATCTATGCACTAAGAGATGCACGCTTATATTTCCTGCATTAACATGACCTCACCTTCTTCTAAGTATGACACATGATGTCATATGCCATTTTTTTTAATTGTAATATGCAGACGAACACTGATTTATTTTTTTTCCTTGATAGTTTATTACGACTCGAAACTTTCTTATTCATCCTTCCACTTTATAGGCATGAATCAAACTTTATACAAAATATTGTGCAAAGCATACTGAGTATACTGAGCCCTGCATTATCGTCTACTACAATGAATACACGTTTGGTTAAGCTGGGCTCTTATATGGATCTAGGGTCTAATGATGTTCGCATCATAGGGATTTGTGGGATGGGAGGAATAGGAAAGACAACTCTTGCACGAGCTTACTACAATCGAACGTCACCCCGATTTGAGGGTAGCACCTTTCTAGCTAATGTTAGGGAAGTTTCATCAAAAGGTGGCATGCTAACTTTACAAGAACAAGTTCTTTGCGAAATCCTTGAGGCAGAAAATGTGAAAATATGGAATGTGTATCATGGAACCGAGATGATGAATACTAGGCTGCGACGTCAACGTGTTTTGATAGTTGTTGATGGATGATGCGGACCATTTGAACCAATTAGAAAAATTGGCTGGAAAGCGTGATTGGTTTGGTTTAGGGAGTAGAATCATCATAACAACTAGGGATATAAATGTGCTTGTCAGGCATGGGGTGGATAAAATATACATGTCTGGGGGATTAAATGATGATGGAAAACTCCAGCTTTTTAGTTTGAAAGCCTTCAAAACTAACCATCCTCCAGAAGAGTATATGACACCGTCAACTTTGGTTATAGATCATGCGAATGGCCATCCATTAGCTCTTGAAATATTGGGTTCCTTTTGTTTGACAAGACTTTAAAAGAATGGAAAAGTGCATTAGATAGAATGAAAGAGAATCCTGACAAAGAAATTCTGGATACACTTCAAATAAGTTTTGATGGACTCGAGGAAACGGAAAAGAAAATATTCCTGGATATAGCATGTTTTTTAAAGGGAAACGACAGAGATCACGTAGCAAAAATGGGGGACAGCTGTGGTTTCCACCCGGATATTGGATTAAGAGTTCTCATCGATAAATCTCTCATAACTGTTTCAAATAACAACACTCTATGGATGCACGATTTGCTTCAACAAATGGGCTGGAAGCTTGTTCGGCAAGAATCTCCAGAGGAACCAGGAAAACACAGGAGGCTATGGCCTTATAAGGATATTCATCGTGTCTTTGTGGGGAATTCTGACCAATAATGTAGTGATATTTACTTATAGAAGGGTAAGCTTATTGATATAATATTTAATATGGTTCAGTAAAACCATCTATATTCACGGGAGATAGTCCATATTATTAGAGATTAGAGAAAGGTACAAAACAAATACAT